GAAACTAAATTACAAATTCTACCAAACATTATTGAATTTTTATAATTAACCAATAAACTAATCTACACATACGCAAAGTTCCAACAACTAATCAAGATGATTTGCACCTGATATCTTCAAACTTTTTCTTTATTATCAAAACATGGAAGATTTTTTATTTCATATATCAACTAACCGTAATGAGACGGCTAGCCGATCGTCGCGAAAAAGCAAATCAAAGATAGTCCATATCGTGTTTTATCAAATCAAAACATAAACTTCTTCAAGAAGTTAATTATTATTGGTGCACAAGAGAAATTCACAATTAGTGCGTCTTCATTGAATTAAATAGAAGTAAATTAAATAAAGCCATCCTAAATATAAATGAAAATAAAGACAATGCAATTAATGTTTAAGCAAAGAGCCCAAAAAAAAGATTTAATAATGAAGGCCATGGGCATGTTTCCATGCCCCACTCTGGTATTTACACAATTTATATGTCATTTTATAGGTTTTTTCAAAAAAAAAAAAAAAAAAAAAATGTATACAAATTTTGAACCCATAGCACATCATTTGGCCGAGATATCATTGAAAATATGTGAATGTGGCCCCATTTTTTACTTTTAGATGGTATTATAAAAAATATCGGCAAACAACTAACGTGGTTCTATTCACAATTGTCTGTTTAATATTATTTATAACACAAATATTGTTGAATAGTTATTTGTTAATGCATGAAAAGTAAAAATAAATTCTCGTTTCGTATATTCTGAAAATATATCCGGAAAATCGGAGCCAGTCTGTGCGTTTTGTGTACTAGAATACTCATGCTTTTGTAGAGAATATTATATATAATCGAGCATATAAATAATTTAAACCATGATACAGATTTTTCAACCCAAAAACTTTACATTTTTAAGAGAATGTAATTAAAAGAAGATTCGCTTAAGGGTTGTTTTTGCACTTGCATAACGATAGGGTCATAACAAACGATTCCACAACACGACCCTGAACGAATCAAACACGTGGTTCCTAAATAGCGTGTCAAAATTTCTTTAGAAAAATGACAAGATCCCATCGCTTTTTAAATTTCTCGTATCTTTTTACCCGCAAACTTTTAAGCCCCGCTTTCCCCTAATTTGTTTTCGACTATATATTCATTTTTCGCCAGAAACGAAATTATAAAATATTTTTCAACCGAAAAACAATAAGATTGTAATTCGAAAGTGATAAATGAGTACAAGTCTTTGAGGTCTAAAATATTGAATCTTTCTATGCAACGAAGTCTCCAACAAACTGTAAAAAGACTCGCGCTCTAAAATATTGAATCTTTCTATGCAACGAAGTCTCCAACAAACTGTAAAAAGAATTAGGTAGCTGAGAAAGAAAGAAAAATATGTTTTTTTTTTCAATCGATTCAATTTGGGTTACAACTGGAGATAATTAATTTACCGCAGATGATGTTCACAGAAATTGAGCAAAAATCCATATTTTAATCGTAAATATTTACGTAAAAAAAAATTCTCAGCAAAATCCTGTAATACGTGTCAAATGATTTTATGTATAATATCTGAAAAAAAAAAAATTCAGACGATTCTAAAATGTGACAATTTATTTTTCCGAAAATCCGTACGATTTGTAAAAGAATGACCCATATATATATATATATATATATATATATATATAAAAATCAAAAAAAATAAAATTAAAATGCTATATTGCAAACTTTAATATATAAATAAATATTGAAATTTTTATTTGACGTATTGACTGTTTAATTATTACTAATAAATAAATATTATTTTCATAATTTATATATATATATATATGGATATATGTATATATATATATATATATATATATATATATATATATATATATCAATCATACAATCCTCAAGATATATATATATATATATATATATATATATATATATACAGTAGAATCCGCTTAGTATGACATCGAAGGGACGCCGAAATCTCGTCATACTAACCGGTCGTCATTAAAAGCGTACTGAAGAAAAACTTTTTAATATGTAAATATGTTACATGTTTCAGTAATTTTAAAAAAAAGCCTATACAAACGTTTTAATTAAAAATAAAAATGACACATTAAAATTTAATATAAAATAAAATTGACATAGGGTAGGGTGGGGCACAAAGGTTCAATTTGACTTTCAGTAATTATACTGTCTAAACCCAATGAACAACCTTGCAACACTTAACACACATCAAACAAGCATCTATCAAACTATGTTCAGAAAAAAATTCACATAATTCCTAATTATATAAATATTATTAACTTCCCGTAGGGCAAGTTATAGTAATCGCAAAAAAATCGAAAATGAAAATAATTATATATCTTTACGTTTCAGAGGTTTCTGAACATTTTGGCATACCTTAGAAAAAATGGATGTATGTGTGTGTGTGTGTGTGTGTGTGTGTGTGTATGTATGTATGTATGTATGTATGTATGTATGTATGTGTGTGTATGTATGTGCGGATACAAATTTTCGTCGACGATTTCGGGAACACGGATTAACCGATTTGAATAATTCAAAAAACATTCGATTCGTATTGATAAGGAGACGTGCTGATTAGTTTTTGGCAAAGGCAGGTCCAGCCGTTCCAAAGATACGGGGCAAAAAGTGCCAAAAACGGTACCTCCGTTTTTAAGAGAACGGAGCGTCCGATTTGAATAATTCAAAAAACATTTTACTTGTATTGACAAGATGTAGAACTGATCAAATTTTCATGAAGGCAGGTCTAGCGGTTTCGGAGATCTAATGAAAAAAGTAAAAAAAATGCCATTCGGCGGTTAAAAATGATCATTAGACATATGCACATCAAATTGTCAGATATTTTATAGAGATTTCAACAATAAGTATATTTTTTTTTACATTTCTGTGGGTTCCGTACCAATGTTTACGCGTTAGACGGCGGCGCGGCACTAGCGAGCTTTGACATTTCGTCTCTATGCAGTTCAAGCAGTGCAGTGCAAGTGAAAAAAAGTTCAGAATTTTCAAAATATGTCAAAATGAAGAAAACATTTTTTTTCAAAATTTTTTTTTGTTTTCAAAAAAAAAATTTTTTCTCAAAAAAAAATTTTTCTTCAAATAAATTTTTTTTTTTTTCAAAAAAAAGTATTTTTTTGTCAAATTTATAGTTTCTCAAAAATCTATTTTTTTCGAAGTAAAATTTTTTCAAAAATGTTAATCGGTTTTTAAAAAAATAATAATTTTTGTACGGGAAGTTCCAGCAATTTGCCTTAAGGCACGATGCCCTAATTGCCTTAAGACAGAATTCCACTTACAGCTAGTTTTTTTACTATTTTTTTTAAATTTGGTATCTGATCCATTTTACCTCACATGCGGGGTAAAGTGGGACAACCAGGGGGCGAACAGATGCAATTTCTTTTATTAAATTTTAAAGGCATTTTATGCTACATTATTGAACCAATGCAAAATATTAATTCTGTGGGTACATTTGTTACAAAGACAACACAGTATATTACATTGATCTGCTATTGGTCAGAAATATTCATCAGACGAGCCGGAATAACAATTTATTTAATTAATCTCTTGTAAAATTGTTTTTTTTAAAACTTTACTATTTTATTGCTTACACCTTTGCCAAATTAAAGGTTCTGCTGGTCCTTTTTATCGCAGTCATGTGCTGCTTATCTTCTGACAGCAAAGTCATAAGAATAAAAGTGATGGCTGGTTATGAATTTATACATTTTTCGCCCTCTACTATCAAATATTTTTGTTAAAAAAAATCTAATTTTATTTGGTTATGAGATATCTGTGGTGGGCCATTAATAATTAGTCTCCCCTACCCATAAACATACAAATGTGATTTTTTAATGTAAGTAATCAGTAATTTTTGATTGATTTCTTTACATAAATTTATTGTAAAAACAGTCCCTGGTGCTATTGTGTACAAAGCACATAGCAATTGCTTTTGTAGACTTGGCCACATCATGTAAAATCATGTCGGTCATTATAACTGGACATATTTTTTTGCAAAAATGGGTCATTATAAGCGACATGCCAATGTAAGCGATGTCAATATATCCGACTAAATACAATAATCCATAAGAAATTTTATATGGAAACCAAACTTCCTAGTGCGGTTACGTCATGATAAGCGGTTGTCAATATATCCGGCGTCATACTAATCGGTTTCTACTGTATATATATATATATATATATATATATATATATATATATTCTCTGCGAAAACAAAATTACATGACTTACTCTAGTACATAAAGCACATGTAATGGCCCTGGTTTTTTCAACTTTTTTATACAAAGTTCCACCTAAATTTAAATAAAATTCTGTATAATAAAAGAAAAATGTATAGATTTTCAAATGACGCTAATTTAAAAGTAGTCCAAAGAGCCGCACTTGTAAAAAATACGAAACAAAATTTCATTCATGCATTAACAAATAATTATTTAACAATAATTAAACACATTAGTTGTTCGATATCTTTTATATTTCTGACAAAAAGTGAGTTTGAAAAAAGGGGTCATTCTCACATATTTTCAATGATATCTCGAGCAAATAATAACCTATGAACTTCTAAATTAGTATATCAATTTTTTTCAAAAAGACCTATAAATGACATATAAATTTAAATACCGATGTGAGGCCGTAATGTATAATAATACATTATAACAATTGAAATTAAATAAATAATTTATAAAAGCATTTACTTACTTTTTAGATGACTTCTTATTTCCTCTATTTCTAGCACTAGACTTCTTTCGAGCTTCCTTTTCTGACTCATATTCATCATCATCATATGAAGCCCCATTACCAGAATAACTAGAATTCAAATTGGGCCCTTTTCTCTGAGATATTCTACTACTCTTTCGAGGGCCTTCAATTCCTGTAATAAATACATTTTAAATGTATTGTAATGCAGAACTATATCTCATGTACAAACCCATGCAAGCCTGCAAATGTTTTGTATATTTAGCAGAACAAACATTTTTCTTGCAAATGGAGTTTGGGCAAATAAAGTACTGATCATCTTTAACGACACTTTGACCAAATATGTCTAAACCAGGCTCATTGATAACACTTGATTCGCTTTCATTACAGGAATGTTCGCAATGTTGTCACATTTATTTGTTTTGAGACCATAGTGGAATTCAAATATCACATCTAATAATGCTTCTTGCATTAAACTGTCGAAAACAGAGTAAGTGACATGTTCCAATTCATTTGAACGCCGCATCAATTCTAGAAAGCCGTCTGTGAGTTCATAAATGTTTAACTCTTTATAATTTGGCATATTGAACATAATATGCTATTAGATATCTGCATTTCCTCTTTCCACTTTGCAGTGCTAGTAATAATATTGCTTATTTCCCAATGTCAAAAATGTTATATTGTAAGAAGTGAATAACCTATGAATCAATCAATCCAATACCACAAAACAAGTGAATTTGTCAAAAGCGCCGTATGGCGTAATGGCGTATGACAGGTTGACAGAGCAAGCCTGTCCAACCTACAAAAGCAAAAGCAAGTCCTTAGATTGAATATGTTATATTCATATTCATTGAACTATATTCATATAATCATTGGTCTTATGCTTATTTATATGCCCTTATGCTTATTTATCTATGATTGGTCCTTATGATATATTTTATTGGTCTATTATAATATTATGTTATATACATATAATGATGGTCGTTTTTTATTTTCAAATTTGCCTCAAACATAGTTCGGTTATCGGATTGTGGTTTGCAAATAAAAAAATTGGATTATAGTTAACATCAAGGTTTTTATGAAACGATAAAAATTGAACTCTTGAAACCATCACGACTAAAATCATTAATTACATAAATCAAAAGGCAATACATAATTGGAAAGGTGATGAATAAAAGTATTGAGGAAAAATCTGAGAAAAAAAGTAATGAAAGTTCAAATATTCATTTTCATTTCAAAATTTCAACTAATAAGAGCTTATATGACATTGCGGTTTACTACTTACATTGTGGTAACTTTCTTTGACCTTTACCTGGTGCTTTACTATTCATTTACTCTACCTCCACCCTTGTTACTTTACCTTTACCTTACCTCTACCTTTACTTGATGCTTTACCTTTATTTTACCTCTACCTTCACCTGTCCTTTACCTTTACCTTAACTCTACCTCTACCTTTACATTTACCTTTATTCAACCTCTACCTTTACTCTACCTCTATTTAAAGGTTGAATTAAAAGTTTTTGAGATATTGGTAGTGGACCTTACCCACAAAGTTTTTAACCCCACTCTTTTTTAATATATTTTTTTCGACTATATATTCTTTTTTTGCCAGAAACGAAATTATAAAAAAATTTTCAACTGAAAAACAATAAGATTGTCATTCAAAAGTGATAAATGAGTGTCCCTTAATATAGACATTTTCGAATTTGCTTGTTCCCAGGGGCTCAAATGGTTCCAAATTGATAAAAAACAATTCCCTGACTAATATTAACGTTTAGATAGTGGGCAATTCAATCAAACTTTGTATGGAAATAACATGGAAAAATTTTGAAAATTAATAAAAAAAATTTTTTAGGTATAGCTTAGCAACAAAATGAATTAAAAGTGAAAATTCGTGTCATTTTTTATTGAAAATTCGACGCTCTGAAATTTTTTTAAAAACTTTCTCATGCTATTTCTATACAAAACTTTGATTTGTGCTCTATCTAAAAAACAATATTAAGAGCTAAAACTTTCAGAGAATTGTTTTTTATCAATTTGGAACCATTTGAGCCCCTGGGAGCAAGGAAATTCGAAAATGTCCATGTTAAGGGCACCCTTATGGGTACAAGTCTTTGAGGTACCCAACGTAAAAAGCGCGATTTGCGCTCGAAAATATTTAATATATTTTGATGTAACAATGTCTCCAACATATTGTGGAAAGAATTTTGTACCAGAGAAAAAAAGAAAAAAACTTTTTTTTTTTTCAATCGATTCAAGTTGGGGGAAGGGTTAAAAAAACCTTTATAAATATTTAAGGGTTGTTATAGTTGAAAAAATTGCAAAAATATTTTTTTTAAATCATTACAAAATTTCACTTCAATATAATAAGTGTAATGAAAAAATAATAATGCTGATCCGATCAGCACAACTAGAGATAGTTAATTTACCGCAGAGGATGTTCAATAATCCATATTTGAATCGTAAAAAAAAAAATTCAGCAAAATCCTGAAATATGTGCCAAATGATTTTATGTATAATATCTGTAAAAAAATTTCAGATTCAAAATGTGACATAGAATTGACACAAGAATGACCCATAATTTGACTTCAGTTATAAAAGAACAAACTTCTTGTTTTATTAATAGATTATTGCAATTACCCAAAAGTTATCTTATCAATTATGCTTATCAATTTATGAATAATATCTTTAAGAATATAATATTTTTTTTACTTATATCTAGATAACAAAACTGTTTTCATCACATATACAAAATATAATACCATATATAAATAAGTAGATCAATTTAAATTCTATATTACAATAATTGAAATAATTGATAATGCACCAGTGACATCAGAAAGAATACGTTATTGCATTCACCATTACTTATATCTAGGTAACAAATTGTTTTCATTACATATACAAAATATAATACCATATATAAATAAGTAGATTAATTTAAATTCTATATTACAATAATTGAAATAATTAATTTTAATGCAACAGTGACATCAGAAATAATACGTTATTGCATTCACCATTACTTATATCTAGGTAACAAATTGTTTTCATTACATATACAAAATATAATACCATATATAAATAAGTAGATTAATTTAAATTCTATATTACAATAATTGAAATAATTAATTTTAATGCAACAGTGACATCAGAAATAATACGTTATTGCATTCACCACAGATTTTGCTTTGCAAATACTTTGATACTTTTCAAAGGCCTTTGAAAAATATCACCATGCACACATGCTTAGATATTTATATATACTATTCTATATTAATTTTAACGAACTTAGGTCTAGATTATAAAAATATTTGTTCATGATTAGTGATTAATGTATCTATGACCCTGTTCTGTTCAAAGCAGTGTATAGCTAAGTCAAAACACACCGCAGACGGACTTCTAGGCGCATTGTTCGGCTGATCTAAAATTATTTTTATTTATTAGATGCGTCATTATGAACAAAACTAATTACATAAACTTTACTTTCGCCCATGAAAACTCTATATAATGAAACTGATTAATATAAGAATGCGATCATCACATTTTAGGATACAAATTTTCGTTGACGATTTCGGGAAGACGGCTCAACCGATCTCAATTATTCAAAGAACATTCGATTGCTGTTGATAAGAAGACGTGCTGATTAGTTTTTGACATAAGCAGGTCTAGCCGTTTCGAAGATAAGGGGCAAAAAGTGCGACAAACGGTAACTCAGTTTTTAAGAGAACGGAGCGTCCGATTTTAATAATTCAAAAAACATTTTACTTGTATTGAAAAGATGAAGAATTGGGGGGTTCCTATGGGTTCTGTACTAATGTTCATCCGTTAGACGGCGACGCGGCGCTTCGATATTTCGTCTCTATGCAGTTAAAGAAGTACGATTGCTTTGAAAAAAAGTTCAGAATTTCCAAAATATTTCAAAATAAAGAAAACATTTTTTATCAAAAAGTCTTTATTTTTTAAAAAAAGTATATTCTTGTCAAAAATGTATAGTTTCTCAAAAATCTATTTCTTTTTTTCAGAGTAAATTTATTTCAAAAATGTTAATATTTAAAAAAAAAAAAAATTTTTAGTACGAGAAGTTCCAGCAATTTGCCTTAAGGCACGATGCCATGCGCCATACTAGTTTTTTAGAATGTTTGTTAAGACTAAGAACCTTATCATCATGCAAAGTTTCATAAAAATCGCCAAAATTTCGCCATCAACTAATTACGAAGAACCGACCTAGTTGATCTTTACCAAGAACTAATCAGCACGATTCCAAACTGATATTTTTAACAGTTTTTAAATTATAAAAATTGGCTCAGGATTTTTAGCGAAACATGAAAGAAACATTTTACGCTTATCTGCTCGGCGAATCGTATCGAAAACTAATCAACATAGTCCTTATCTAGTTTCAAAAAATGGTTTTTAAACTTTTGAAATCGAGAAAGCATGAATGAAATGTTATATTTTGGATCACATACGCACACATACTTGTTTAAATTTTAGTGTGAAACGATTCAGACTGACTTGAAACGTCGAGAAAAATAAAATAAGCATATAGAATTTTCTGGCGCAAACATGAACCTCTCATTCGGGGTGTTAAAAGAAGTGATATAATTATAAATATTAAATAATTGAATATATCATTTTATTACCGTCTGCAACACTTGCCGGTGGTATCCACATAAGTGAGGGTCCCCAGACAATAGACAAATTGTTCACATGCATCCGGTTGGCTTGGCTACATTCCGTAACGCGTATCAAGTGCGCCACTAAATGTTGTAACGTATCTCGATTGCAAATTGGCAGGCAATGCACTAGATCACGTAGTCGCAATACTCGTTCATTATCATCTGGTATAGCTAGAATAATTTATATGATTAGATCAATTATTTACACATATGGAAATCGTAGTCATTTCACCACTATAATAATTACTCATAAGGCCCTTTATTTTATGAATCCAAATAAAACATGCTGCATTACATTTAATATTTTGTTCGATAAAGGTAAATACATACCGTTGGCTTCTAAGAATGAGTGGAACGCATTAAAAGGAATTAAAGGTTCTTTTAATTCTCTGAAAAATAATTTTAAGGATCCTGCTATAACGTGAGGATCTTCCTCTTCGCGTATTGCGTCTAATATTCCTTGATTCACCTATAAAACAAAACGATAATTTTCATTCAATTACGATCGTATGATGATGCTTAACTTACATAAGTTAATTATTTATTCATTAAAAATTAAATCATTTATAAAATTCAAGCTTTGTTTAGTCCTATACGTTAAACTATTTTTGTGTTATTATATTCATATAAATTTTATCTCGTTTAATCATATATATATATATATATATATATATATATATATATATATATATATATGGAGGTGTAGTAGTCCTCCATATTAATACCAATATTATCCAAATTGTAGTAATAATAAATTCCATAAAATATTATTTATATTTGGTTTATTTTATGTATGATTAATATCCACGACACTATGTGTTGTCATATTTATCGTTAATAAAATGTGATTGGTATTTTCTTATTTATAATAGAAAAAGAAAGGTTTTGAAAATTATACATTTTGGCAAGTTCGACTAGGGAGAAACAAAAACCGTGTCCGATCTGACACTTGAATTTCCTTTTGTTTTTCTCAGTGCTGTCACTTATATGGGCCAATCTGTCCAGAGACATGTGATGCGTGTTGACAAGCCGCTATGCGTGTTGGCAACCCGCTACATCACTCCGCCCTAAATACCAAAATGATAGACAATAATAAATTTCATAAAATATTATTATATTTCGTTTATTTTATATATGATTAATATCCACGACACTATGTGTTGTCATATTTATCGTTAATAAAATGTGATTGGTATTTTCTTATTTATAATAGAAAAAGAAAGGTTTTGAAAATTATACATTTTGGCAAGTTCGACTAGGGAGAAACAAAAGCCGTGTCCGATCTGACACTTGAATTTATTTTTGTTTTTTTCTGTGCTGTCAATATATGGGCCAATCTGTCCAGTAACATGTGATGCGTGTTGACAAGCCGCGATGCGTGTTGGCAACCCGCTACAAAAGATTGTTTCGCATCTCTGACTGCCATTCTTGAACTTCCTTGTAAATTTCTTTTGGTTGAGATTGTGTGATAAATTTTATTTGTTTGTGGCCGTGGCCGTTTTGAATGCCGTGTTGGCTTGTTGAGTTTGTTGATTGCTTACGTGGCCCTTCGCTGGTGAGTTAGCGGTTGAGAAGATGTGGCCCTTCGCTGGTTAGTTAGCGGCTGAGTATATTTGACACTTCGCTGGTGAGTTAGCGGTTGATTGTATGTGGCCCTTCGCTGGTGAGTTAGCGGTTGATTGTATGTGGCCCTTCGCTGGTGAGTTAGCGGTTGAGTGTATATGGCGGTTGCCAAATTGTTTGCTGATGCTCCCTGTCTGTTGCCATGGTGCTTATAATCGACTTATTTACCAGGATAATAAATGATTTATTGAGCACGTGTTGTTGTTGATCTTGAAGTGCGTGGTCGAAGTCTCAGTTGTATGCTTAGAGTGCTCTTCGAATTACGGTAGTTGTGAGTCATTTATAATAATTATTTATATTTTTAAAAATTCTTTTCTTAATAATTCTTGAGACTTCAATTTATTTTTTTTAACTTCAAAATATGTCTTGATCTTCTTACCTTCTTTTATGTGTGTTACTTGTTCACTCTCGGGGTCACCAAAATATGGAGGTGTAGTAGTCCTCCATATTAATACCAATATTATCCAAATTGTAGTAATAATAAATTCCATAAAATATTATTTATATTTGGTTTATTTTATGTATGATTAATATCCACGACACTATGTGTTGTCATATTTATCGTTAATAAAATGTGATTGGTATTTTCTTATTTATAATAGAAAAAGAAAGGTTTTGAAAATTATACATTTTGGCAAGTTCGACTAGGGAGAAACAAAAACCGTGTCCGATCTGACACTTGAATTTCCTTTTGTTTTTCTCAGTGCTGTCACTTATATGGGCCAATCTGTCCAGAGACATGTGATGCGTGTTGACAAGCCGCTATGCGTGTTGGCAACCCGCTACATATATATATATATATTAGGGTGGTCCTTAAAAAGGTCATTTTCGAATTTCCTTGCTCCCATGGGCTCAAATGGTTCCAAATAGATAAAAAACAATTCTCTGAAAGTTTTAGCTCTTAATATTAACGTTTAGATAGAGCGCAATTCAATCAAAGTTTGTATGGAAAGAGCATAGTAAAAAAATTTAAAATTTAAAAAAATGTTTTAGGTATAACTTAGCGACAAATGAATGAGTTTTAATCATTCATTTGTTCGGTAAATTACATCTAAAAATCATTTTTAAAATTTTTGAAAATTTTTTCATGCTATTTCCATACAAAACTTTGATTGAATTGCGCTCTATCTAAACGTTAACATTAAGAGCTAAAACTTTCAGAGAATTGTTTTTTATCTATTTGGAACCATTTGAGCCCCTGGGAGCAAGGAAATTCGAAAATGACCATTTTAAGGACCACCCTAATATATATATATATATATATATATATATATATATATAAGTATAATAACTAAATGGTAGTCTGCCCAAAGACAGGTGTATGGTACGAAAGCCACCACAAATCGATGATTTCCATTCCCTTTCTCGTCTATCATTCCTATTACCACAATCCCCCCCTATTTTGTATACATTTTTTTATGTATTTTCCTTTCCGAACTTCTGCTTCCATGCTTCCTCTGCCCTCTGCTTTCAGTTCCCTGTATTCTTCTTCTTCCCATTTCTTTCAGTCCTTCTATATTTTACCTTCGACTACATCATGAAGGAAGTATTCTTTTCCGTGCTCAGTAGAGTCTTTTCTTGGCCCAATTTTTAAGCCTTCTCAGGACTTCTTCAGTTGTTATCCTATCTGTTCACTTTATAGTCTAAGAGCCAGTGAACTATTTGACTAACCTGTTTTCACAGAGCCAGAAATTTTTTTAATGATATTTTATTATCGGCCCATTACGAAAGTACCATTCTGGCAGTCATTCCGCGATTGCGTCATCATCCCTTCAATTTGTGAAAATTAAAAAAAAAAAATTTATAACTAGCTCGCACAAGGCTCAATTTTGAGGGTGTCTTCTTTCAACTGTTCAGAAAGCATATGTAAAAAGCCAGCCCATTCTAACGGCTGCAAGGGTCTGCCAGACGAGTACATAATAGTCACGACGCGCAAGGGCGTGGGCGCATTGCCATACATAATCGACTAATACCCTTGTATTTGAATAATTTATACGCCATTTTGAAGGTCATTTTGAAAACATCCGATATACCAAACTTTAACTTTGTATCTCACCTTATGGCCGAGATATCATTGAAAATATGCCAAAGTGGCCCCTTTTTCAAACTCAATTTTTGGCGTAACCATAAAAGATATCGAAAAAAAAAATTACGTGATTCTACTCATATTGGCTTAAACCACATAATGTATAGTAAATATGCTAAATAATCTTTTATTATTAGCTAAAATGAATAAAATAATTTTTCAATTAATGTTTTCGGATAGTGCGTTTTGTTTAATTACTTTATTATTAGCGTTATTTAAAAGCTTATTGTTTTCTCTTTTAGTACTGCCAATATTGTTTAAATCAAATTTGTGGAACACATTGAAAAATTGAAGAAACCAGAACCAGTACACCCGCGCGTAACGCTTATAGTAGCCAGCATAGAATTCGTTCGGTCGGATGTGCGATGCGTTACGCGCGAGTGTACTGGTTCTGGTCTCTTCAATTTTTCAATGTGTTCCACAAATTTGAGCCTTGTGCGAGCAAGTTATAAATAATTTTTTTTTTTACATTTTCACGAATTGAAGGGATGATGACGCAACCGCGGAATGACTGCCAGAATGGTACTTTCGTAATGGGCCGATAATAAAATATCATTAAAAAAATTTCTGGCTCTGTGAAAACAGGTTAGTCAAATAGTTCACTGGCTCTTCTACTATTACTTTCTCCATTCGTCTACAGCACCACAACTTAAACTCTCCATTTAGTTCTTGTCGGCCTTTCTTAGAGTCCATGTTTCTGATCCGTGCAGAGACATGTTCCAGCCATAGCACTTTATTAGTCTTTTGCAAAAGTCGAGACTCAGTTTGCTCGTCAGTAACGGTTTTCTTCTTCGTGAATAGTGTGGCGATCCTTGCCTTGCAGTATCCTTAGCGCTTGCGATCCTTGCCCCGATATCTCTCTCGCGCAGTATCCGTTTCTGGTTAGAATGCTTACCAAGTTGAAGTGATTCACATTTTCCAATTCTCGATTTCCTACCGTTATTCTCAGGGACTCATCTCGTTTCGTGATTCACATCACTTTCGACTTGTCGATGTTGATTTCCATTCGTCTAGCAAGGATTTTGGCCAGAACCTTTCCTATGTACGAAGTCAAACTGATCGTCTTGTGGATGCTGCACTTGTTTGCTTTGGGCTATTTTCAAGGAGCTATCATCGTGACATCCAAGAAGTCCTTTGGCCATTCGCCCGTTCGATATATTTGATTCAGCAGTTCGGTCGGTTCCTTCAATCCGTTGTATATATATATATATATATATATATATACATATATATTATCATTATATTATGTAATATACATGGTCTGTTCAAAAAGTTTTCGGAATTTTCGTTTTTTCAAAAAAATATTTATTTATTCGTCTATATTAATGTGGTCCCCTTCAAAGTAGTCCCCCCCAGATATAATACACTTATGCCAGCGTTTTTTCCAATTTTCGAAGCACCCTTGATATTCACTTTTTGATATGTCCTTGAGCACTCTTAGCGATTTTCTTCAATCGAGGAAAACCGCCGTCCTTTCATGGGTCTCTTCAATTTTGGGAATAGGAAAAAGTCACACGGAGCCATATCTGGTGAATTTTTGCACTTTGCAACACTTTATTTCATTTTTTACGCAAAATTTAATACAAATTCTTTGACTTTTCAATTCTTCCATTGTAAAAATCGCCGAGCTCAGAAAAACACGTCGAACCTTAGCGACTACCACAGACAAAGTAAACAGTGAATATAGCTGAAAATTTCATCATACTTTAGGGGCATGTATACCAACACAATAAAAAAAAAATTTTGACAATCAGACACTC